AATAATAACATATTTACAATAATAATAGTATTTAATTACATCTAGAATCATTGAAACAAAATATGGGTCATATCGGTCCACCTTTTGTTAAATCCTGTAAGAGAAGCCCTCCATGCAAAAAATGTCGAAGGTCTTGGTACACATTTCCTGATTGATTTCTAACTCTTATTCATAGATGATATTATAGCCCACTGCAGCGAGTAACTGGCTCATAGCTACGCGATACAAAATTACATTACATTTGCATCGATTTCTGGGCCATATCTTGTCAAAGTCGACTCTTCCTTAGTTCTAAAAATACTAGCATATTAATGTCTCAATATTTATTTACTCAAGATAAGTGATATCTTATTTTATAAAAAGGATGGAAATACAAATCTTTATATTTGTATTTTTTCTTTTTCATAAATTATATTAGCTTAGCCTAACAAGGTGATTTCAGCTTGTAAAATCATTTTCCTTATGAAAATTAACGTTTAGAAAATCCATAAACATTAACGGTGTTGAATAGAAGAAATAAACTTACAATCTAAATTCATTATTCACAGCTTAATGGTAAAACGATGAATGGCGTCGTGAAAAAAAAAACCCAGAGAAAATTAGAGTGGGACATTTGTTACAGTCCATGTTTGCTTGAATCGCTTCATACGGGAATGATTAATCTTGCGTATACGTTTGGCTGTTTTCTTGGGTTTATACCACGGTGGATAGGAACCATGTTGATCTTTCAGAGTCTTTGTATTGTAGACATGAACCTTGCCAGTTTTCTCATTGACAACGGTGACATTTTCACCTTTTTCACGTTGCTCCTGTAGTTCATGGGTCAGTTCTTCCTCTTCTTTTGTCAAAGAGGTCAGCTGCAAATTTGCACCTTCGGTTGGCCACCAGAACTCAAGCGCCGGCCATGGTGATGGTGTAGGCCGCCATAACAGCCGATGTTCGCTCTCCGCTCGTATTAATCGACCGTGACATCAGAATACATGGCGAATATTATCGCGAAAATATTCTGGAGGGTGTATCAAAGCCTTGAGCACGCAAACATTTTTGCCGCAGACCTTGGATATTCCAACAGGACTCAGCACGTGCCACCCAAGAATGGTTACAAAATGAAGTTCCTCGCTTCATTTTCAGCGCACAATGGCCGCCAAATCTCCGGATACCAATCCGTTGGGCTATTGTGTCTGGAGTATTTTGGAAAGCAAGTTTTGCAGTAAAAAATACCAAAGTGTCGATCACCTCAAGCAAGCGCTTCGCCGGGAATGGGCCAAAATGCCACAGAGCAACATTCGGGCAGCGTGTGACTGTGGTTTCATTGGCCGTTTGAAGGCCATAATTCGTGCCAAAGGTGACCAATTCGAACCAATCTAAACTTATCTTAAATTCGATGATATTTCCGACATTTTTTGCTTTCATTCAATAAATTAAAAAAAAAAAAAAAAATTATGGCGTTTAACTTTGTTGCAGTTTTTTTTTTTGTCTCACCCTGTATCTCAATATTTCTATCAACCATATATCTGACGTAAATATAAAATGTGTCGGTACACTCCTTCATTGTCAGATTTTCGTATTTTATTAATGGTTAGTGCAACATGGTGATATGATATCTTTAGTGGATCTGAACCCCAAAAGAGTTTTGGGTCCCCAGGATAAACATGTTTTGGGTCTCCAATATATTGCTTTCGAACTTTGTAGAATTTAAAATAATAACATATTTACAATAATAATAGTATTTAATTACATCTAGAATCATTGAAACAAAATATGGGTCATATCGGTCCACCTTTTGTTAAATCCTGTAAGAGAAGCCCTCCATGCAAAAAATGTCGAAGGTCTTGGTACACATTTCCTGATTGATTTCTAACTCTTATTCATAGATGATATTATAGCCCACTGCAGCGAGTAACTGGCTCATAGCTACGCGATACAAAATTACATTACATTTGCATCGATTTCTGGGCCATATCTTGTCAAAGTCGACTCTTCCTTAGTTCTAAAAATACTAGCATATTAATGTCTCAATATTTATTTACTCAAGATAAGTGATATCTTATTTTATAAAAGGATGGAAATACAAATCTTTATATTTGTATTTTTTCTTTTTCATAAATTATATTAGCTTAGCCTAACAAGGTGATTTCAGCTTGTAAAATCATTTTCCTTATGAAAATTAACGTTTAGAAAATCCATAAACATTTAACGGTGTTGAATAGAAGAAATAAACTTACAATCTAAATTCATTATTCACAGCTTAATGGTAAAACGATGAATGGCGTCGTGAAAAAAAAACCCCAGAGAAAATTAGAGTGGGACATTTGTTACAGTCCATGTTTGCTTGAATCGCTTCATACGGGAATGATTAATCTTGCGTATACGTTTGGCTGTTTTCTTGGGTTTATACCACGGTGGATAGGAACCATGTTGATCTTTCAGAGTCTTTGTATTGTAGACATGAACCTTGCCAGTTTTCTCATTGACAACGGTGACATTTTCACCTTTTTCACGTTGCTCCTGTAGTTCATGGGTCAGTTCTTCCTCTTCTTTTGTTTTCTTTTCCTACGATATGGGGAAAATGTAATTCTTTAATATAATTGTAAATTCTATTTATTACAGGCATAAATTACCATTTTCAATTCTTTGGCAGTTTTGACCGTGGCCACCTCTGCGATTTCTTTCATATCTTCGTCCGTGTCCATTATGCCAAGAGTTTTCTTTAGCCGGGCCAATTCCTTGACTTCATATCGAGCCTTTTTGGCTTTGCTATTTTCCTCGCGTCGCTTACGGGATTTATTTGTACGACCCATGTTGATTCGTTTTTATTAATTATCTAAATTATTATATTTTTTCGGAAATATCCAACTTTTCCCAATAAACACGTGTTGTGTTGTTTGGCGTTTGAATAAAAACAACAGATGTTATTTGACAGTTGTTGCTGCCACACTTTAACAGTGTTGCCATGTAAAGTGGACGTTGCCGGATTAGCTTACAATACACAGAGAAAAAATAAATGAATTCTTTTTAATGGGTAGACTTATGGCACAACAAGAAATGTAGTTTAAAATCGAAGGGAATTGAAAAATGCGAATGGAATATATATTGTTGGAATATTATATCACAAAATGAACAATATTATTCTCTAGCAAAATTCTAAAATATACTTTTATACCCTCAGCCATATGGCTACAGAGGGTATATATCATTTGATACGGCCAAAACGTGCCTCATTGAAATAACGGTTTTAGACCCTAGGCCCCTTTAAACCAAATCCGTTTTAGGACATTTCTAGTCGATCTAGCGATGTTCGTCCGTCCGTCTGTCTGGCTGGTGCACACGATTACTCTCGAAGGGAGTATCCAATTTGATCAAAATTTGGTACATCGTAATATTATTGTCAAACTTAGATCGAGTGCGGAGTTGGGCAATATCGGTCCTCTCCTTACACACACAAAATGTCAAATTTTTCAAAAAAAAAAAAGAATTTTTGCACACAAAGAGAAAGGATAATCCGATTTTCTCCAACTTTGTAAATCCTAATATTTGCATCAGTGCTCGGTCAGGTGCGAAAATGGACAATATCGGCCCACTTCATCCAGTACCTCCCACACAAAGGGTCAAAATTTTGAATAATTATAACTCTCATAAAATGTGATGCAAATGTCCGTCTTTAAATTACACACATCACAATATTTTTATTAACGCAAGGTCTGGTGTGAAGATGGAATATATCCATTCAGACTTGGTACATCTCAATATTTCCATCAACACAAGATATGTTATAAAGATGGTAAAGATCGGACCATTCCTTCTGGTACCTACCCCACACAATGTCAAAGGTTTGAATAACAAAAACGATCAAAAAGTCCCAAATAAGCATCCGGTTCTCTTCATATTGCACACATACCATTATTTCTACTAACACAGGGTCTGCTGTGAAGATGGAATATATCGACTCCACTCCTTCTGGTACTTCCCCCACAAAGGGGAAAAATGTTGAGTATCCATGAAGCTTAGAAAACGCGAAATTAACATCCGATTCCATTCAGAGTTGGTACATCTCAATATTTCCATTAACACAAGATCTGCTATAAAGATGTAAGAGATCGGACCATTTCTTCTGGTATATACCCCACAAAGGGCTCAAGATTTTTGAACAAACAAAACGCTCAAAGAGAGCGAAATAAGTATCCAACTTTCTTCTAATTTCACACATATTTTTGCTGACGTAAGATCTGTTGGGAAGATGATATATATCTACCAACCTCTTAGGTACCTCACCGACAGAGGGTCACAATTTCCAATACTTATATCTGTCACAACTTGCGAAACAAATCGTCGATTCTTTACTATTTGCTATATATTTCTCTTAACCAGAAATCTGATACGAATATGTAATTTATCAGAATTTATGATTTCCCATAAAATTGGATATAATTGTCCGATTTCCTTCAAATTTGGCACATAACAATATTTTTATCTGTTTTATATGAAGTATGAAAACGGAATACTTCAGTCTGCTTTATCTGTTACCTCGCGCATATTTCCAAAGTATAGGAAGTAGTCGATATAGTCCAAATCTACGAGTTGGTCAATATTGGCCAACTGATTCGGAACCTACCTCATAAAGAGTGAACAGTTTGAATAATCATAACTCAAGGCTGGGGATATACGTCTGTCGGGAAAACCTACTGATACTATTTTACTTGTTCCATGGCAAAACAAATTTGCTAAATCGGATATGGCAACCCTTACTCGACCATATCATTCATTTTTCAAATAAAATTTATTTTACAAAAATAATAAATAATAGATTATTTTTGACGTCCCATATTTTACGAAGACGAATTTAGAGTTGAGTAGTTCTCGAATAATATTTTATTATAAGCCAATCTTTAAGGATCATAAGTGAAATTACGTCCATGGACTACACGATTTGTGCAAATTTGAAAACATTTCGTCTAATAGAGCCTTAAGCATTCATAACCATAACCATATAAAACAGCTGTTCAAACCAATCTTACGGTGGTGAATTGAATAATGTATAATGGAGACATACCATAACGCCATGGCCACGGACATAGACATCAATTGAACTTTAGTTTTCTGCCGTAACCATAACAAAACAAACGATTGTTTATTTATTTGTAATTATGCTATTGTGTTCTGATATTGTTAAGTTTTGATTAAATATTTTCGCCTGCACTTCAGTTTACACTTCTTTGAATGATTATCTAGATAATGGATGACAAAAAGCTAATTGAGTCTGTTCGAAACTGCCCTTGCCTGTATGATAAAACCCACAAAGACTTCAAGGATAGGGAGAAAAAACGACGAGCTTGGATTGAAGTTGCCAATAATTTGGACGTTGATGGTAAATATAACTTTATTTTGGTTTTATAATATTAACTAAATGCCTGTATTGTAAATAGAAACTATAGCTATGAAACGCTGGGGAAATTTGAGGGAGCGATTCAGCAAGGAGATACGAAATCCGCAAAACACCTCTGGAAGTGGAAAGCAGTGGGCCCTATTAGAAAGTCTGCAATTTCTACGAAGTCATATTATCTCCCGACCGTTAGTAAAAAAAAAAAAAACTAGTATTAAGATTCATAATTTGTCAAGAAAGTATATATTTTTTTACAGCATGCGACAAAGTGCCCCAATATTGAAAACCGACATTAAACCAGATATTCTTAACGAATCGTCGTCATCATCTTGTGTTTTACCTGTGCAATCTGTTCAACTTGACTCCGAAGAATCAACTTCAACGTTTCTAATGCAATCAAATTCAATTTCGCCCATTAAGTCTTGGCCATCAACGTCACGGATAAAAAAGCGAAAGTCCTCTCTACAGCTTGGCGAAATGGACACCACTATAGGGGAGACAGTAAAAACATTTCAGGAAATATCTACACGAAAGGCACACCGAGAAGAATTTAGTTTGGAGATATGCGGTTTTGGTACAATGATATGCTCGGCAATTTCAAAAATGAAAAAATCCACCCAAGCTGCTGTGATTCGTCGTTGCACGGATATTGTTATGCAGGCGCAGATTGACGAAGACCAACGGGAATGAAAAAAAAAAAAAATATTTAATTATAATGCATTGTAATTATATTCATAGAAATTATCTCTGATGCTGAAATCAAAGTACAAATAATATAGTCATAAAATGAACCACTACTACATTATATATGTAATAACCTATTAAATTTAAGAATTAAATACAGTGGAATATGAATTTTGAAATAGAATAATTTTTGATGTAAAGTAGTTTCCTAACAGAATGTTTTTTTTTTTTTGGCATTTTTTGGTTGGCGTTCCACTCTTGTCCTTAGAACTTGTCATTAAAATCCCAAGGGTATTTTCTTTAATAACTTTTTTTTTAAGGGAAAATACAATCTTCCATGAAATAATGTGGGAAGAGTTGTAATGTGAACGAAAGAGGACTAGAGATATGGTAGTGACAGGCGATATTCCAAAAAATCTTCTCCAAATCTCATTACAGGAAAAATGCCACCACCACTTTCACTTCCATTAGCTCCCACCCGCATAGCTATAAAGAATGGTATAGAATGGTGCCTATGCAGTTTAGGATTTTACACATTTGGCTGTATCTGGGTGATGTCTTCATATTGCTAATCGGGTGGATCACTCAGATAGTCTCACATTGCTCCTACATATATAAATAAAAGCTGTTTATGGTTATGGCACCGCTGATCGATGAAATGAAATCTGATTGCGGTTATGTTTATGGGTATGGCGATGTTGTATCTTGCGTCTAATTGTTTTGGATATTAAAACAGGGACGGGCAGAGAGTCGCACATTTATGTTTTCCCATTTTTATACCCTCCAAAATAGTATGGAGGGTATGGTAAGTTTGTCATTCCGTTTGTAACACTTCGAAATATACATTTTAGACCCCACAAAGTATATATTCCTGAGCAGCATTAAATTCTATGTCGATTTAGCTATGTCCGTCCATCTGTCCGTCTGTGGAAAACATTCTAGCTTCCGAACAAAATGAAGTAGGTTAATAAAATTTCACTCAAATGTATATTATGTCTGCAGGACTTTTAGTATTGAAAATGTAGGTCCACGTTTTGGTATAGCCCCCATATAACGGCACCTCCCTATATTCCGTATTTTGATGATTTTAGCGACATTATTCACCGGAATTGTTTAGAATTTGGTATTTGAAGTTCGTAATGGATATTACAGCCTATTACAGAAAATTGTCTGTGCAGGTCCACGTCTTTGTATAGCCCCCACATAACATTACCTCCCGACATTCGGTATTTTGATGATTCTAGCGACATTATTCACCGGAATTGTTTCAAATTTGGTATTTGAAGTTCGTGATGGATATTAAAACCTATGATAGAAAATTGTTTGTGTAGGTCCACGTCTTTGTATAGTCGCCATATAACGTTACCTCCCGACATTCGGTATTTTGATGGTTTTAGCGACATTATTCACCGGAATTGTTTCAAATTTGGTATTTGAAGTTCGTAATAGATACTACAGCCTAAAACAGAAAAGTGTCTGTGCAGGTCCACGTCTTCGTATAGCCCCCATATAACGGTACCTCCCGATATTCGGTATTTTGATGACTTTAGCGACATTATTCACCGGAATTGTTTTAAATTTAGTATTTGAAGTTCGTAATGGATATTACAGCCTATGATAGAAAATTGTCTGTGCAGGTCCACGTCTTTGTATAGCCCCCACATAACATTACCTCCCGACATTCGGTATTTTAATGATTCTAGCGACATTATTCACCGGAATTGTTTCCAATTATGTATTTGAAGTTCGTAGTAGATACTGCAGCCTTAGACAGAAAAGTGTCTGTGCAGGTCCAACTCTTCGTATAGTCCCCATGGTAACTACATTCGGTAATTTAATTTTTTTAAGTTTCGCATTTGAATATTTTAATGGCTTATGACAAATGTTGCCTATGCAGGTCCACGTCGTCGTATATACCCCAATACAACGGCTACATTCGGTATTTTTATGATTTTAACAGAATTTTTAACGGATTTTATTAATTTTTTTTGAAAATTGAACGATTATATTAAAATTAAACGATTAATTAATACTCTAAAATCGCAAAGTAAGCAACACCGAAGAGGAGAATGAGGAAATGTAACGGCTAATATAATAACAAAAGTGCTTGCACTCAAAAAAAAAAAAAAAAAAATGCAGAGAGTTTTAAATCCCAATGGGCCATATGGAGTTTGTGCTCTCATCCACATTCTAGGCTCCAAATTCTCTCTAACCATTTTAAAACAACAAAATGCAACAACGAAGCTCAACAGAGAAAGGCAGAATTGCAAAAAATGCAGACAAATGGGAAGTTATTCATTCTGTTTTTTGACGTCAGTCGCTACGTTACCAACAGATAAAATATTGTAAAATTAAATGTAATATAATAAAAATTAAGAAATTGCGGTGTGTAGGTATTATATTTTAAACGAAAAGCACTACAAAGTTTCCCCTTAAACCGGAAGTTAATTTACATATATATGTGTGTGTGAGAGTGAAGTTTTGCAAGAAAAATAAAAAGACAAGGTTTTAATATACACAGGTAATATGTTCTTGAAAATTACAAACTGAGAATTATAAAAACCGCTGCTGAAGTTGTTTTTTATTTGTTGCAAACTTTTGCAATGAACCGTGATTTGTGTTTTTTTTTTGACATTGCAGTCAGTGTACATCCAACTGCGAATGAAGGTTATACTTACTTTGTTGTGACAATAAATAGAAGACCACAAAATGGACAAACTGTCATGGGAAAAGTTTGAATCGGGAAATATGGCTGGGTTGAACATTTTGTACTTTCCAAGTCGAATAAATCTAAATTATATTCAAATAAGCTGGACAATTATGCTAGGACTTCGTAATTTTGAATACTTTTGGCGGGATGAACTTCTATCAGTTATGGACGCCAAACATACAGGGTGAGATAAAAAAAATAACTGCAACAAAGTCAAACGCATTAATTTATACATTTTTTTTTTTAATTTTATTGAATGCAAGCAAAAAATGTCGGAAATAGCATCCAATTTTAGAATAAGTTTAGATTTGTTCGAATTGGTCACCTTTGGCACGAATTATGTCCTTCAAACAGCCCGAATGTTGCTCTGCGGTATTTTGGCCCATTCCCGACGAAGCGCTTGCTTGAAGTGATCGATATTTTGGTATTTTTTAGTGCAAACCTAGCTTTCAAAAATACTCCCAGACACAATAGTCCAACAGATTGGTATACGGAGATTTTGGTGGCCAATGTGCGCTGAAAATGAAGCGAGGAACCTCATATTTTAACAATTCTTTGGTGGCGCGTGCAGAGTGCGATGGTGCTGAGTCCTGTTGCAATGTCCAAGGTCTACCGCCAAAATGTTTGCGTGTCCAAGGCTTTAATACACCCTCCAGAATATTTTCGCAATAATATTCGGCATTTATTCGATTAAGACGAGCAGAGAGCTGTCATCAGCTGTTATGACGGCCACACCATCACCATGGCCGGCACTTGAGTTTTTATTGTCCCCATGCAGGTTGAGATGAAAAAACTGCAACCAACTTCAGACTGCTGTCATTTCTAAGCCACTCGTCCGACAGCTGTTAAAACTATTCCAGTGACAGCTCATTATATTGTTTACAAGCGAACAAAAGCATTTTGGTGAGAATTTTCCAGAAAAAAAAGATATTCGTGATGGAATTCAAGCGTGATAGTGTGATTTGTGAGAAAACAGCAACATCAGCTGAAATGGTTGGAAAAGAAAAGAAGCGACTTGATCGAAACTCGCGTCGCAGTGGTCGAAAAATGGCTCGTGAGCTGAACATGTCGCAATAATCCATTCGGCAAATATTTAAAAATGAGCTCGGGGTAAAGCCATTGAAAGTCCAAAAACTTACACCGCAACAGAAAGAAAGTAGACTCAAAAGAGCTAAAGAGTTGCTTCGCTTGGCCGAAAATGGTGAACTGCCGAATTTGGGTTTCTCCGCTCCGATAAGAAAACATTCGTTGTCCAGCAGTTTGTAAACAAACAAAATTATAGTATTAACTTGCCAAAGAGGTCAGCTGAAAATGTGCAACTTCGGTTGGCCACAAGAACTCAAGCGCCGGCCATGGTGATGGTGTGGGCCGCCATAACAGCCGATGGTCGCTCTCCGCTCGTATTAATCGACCGTGGCATCCGAATAAATGCCGAATATTATCGCGAAAATATTCTGGAAGGTGTATTAAAGCCTTGGGCACGCAAACATTTTGGCCGCAGACCAACACGCGCCACCCAAGAATGATTAAAAAATAAGGTTCCTCGCTTCATTTCCAGCGCACAATGGCCACCAAAATCTCCGGATACCAATCCGTTGGACTATTGTGTCTGGAGTATTTTGGAAAACAAGGTTGGCACTAAAAAATACCAAAGTATCAATCACCTCAAGCATTCGCTTCGCCGGGAATGGGCCAAAATACCGCAGAACAACATTCATGCAGTGTGTGACGGTTTTATGGGCCGTTTGAAGGCCATTACTCGTGCCAAAGGTGAGCAATTTGAACAATTCTAAACTTATTCTAAAACTTGTTGCTATTTCCGATATTTTTTGCTTTCATTCAATAAAATTAAAAAAAAATGAAAAAATTTTGGAGTTTGACTTTGTTGCAGTTTTTATCTCACCCTGTATATGGGGAGCAAGAACTCTAAAATCGCATGAAGATGTAGCTATATAGAAATCTGAACCGATCTCGATAAAATTTGGCAGAGGTATTTTCGAGCAGTGCATATTACGCATGTAAGGGTCTTGAACACGAAATTTGATAAAACATATGTATGGGAGATTTAGCCATATCTGAACCGATTTTCGCCAAATTTGAAGTACTTGTTTCTAGGATGAATTAAGTCATAATTGCCAAAATTCAGGTAACTTGGATTATTATTGGCCATTTGGTGTACAATTGACCCGAAATCGGTTGAAGATTTATATGGATCTTAACAGATCCTGATACAACTTAGCAGATATTTCTGGGCTGTATCTGTTACCAAACATTATTCTTGTTAAGTGCATATTACGAATGTGGGGACTTAGACACCAAATCGGATGAAACCTATATATGTTAGCTATAGCTATATCTGAACGGATTTTCTCCAAATATCGATGTACTTACTTCTAGACTGAATTCGGTTGGATGTGCCAAGATTCAGGACTTTTGGATTGATATTAGTTATTTGGTGTACAATTAACCCG